TTGTAAATGGCCACCCTGACCCTGCAGTGCCACCGTCCGGCCGTTTATATACAACGGCCGGTCGGGAAGTGGTTAAATAAACACAATAATATCAATGTACTCACAAAAGTGCACATGAAGTGCATATAACAAATCCCATCATGCCACTGGAAACATGTCCATCCATAGGGGCACAGAGTTCTGCAGAAAAGGGCATTGCCCTTGAAAAGTGTAAGCTATGGATGGACATGTTTGCAGTGGCATGTTGGGATTTGTTACATGCACTTGATTGTGTACTTTTGTGAGTACATTGATATCATTGTTTTTATTTAAGAAAGAGTTTCATGGTATTACACTAGGCCGGTGCACCATCTTCTTCTGTTTGCATTACTTTAGTACATTACTTTTACTACTTTAGTAGGCATGCCCCTGAGGACGTGCATGCACACGAAACGCGTTGGATGGAGCCTTACGTGCTGACATCATGCCGCTGTGGTGGCCATTTTGGTATGCTTTCATGCATTTAACTCTTTGCTGTATTCACGTGGATTACTTTTAACCATTTACAATAAAACTACACTATATTGCCATACCTTCGGCTCCTTTGGTGAGCTTTTTCTCCTAGGAGGATCCTTTGCTGGTTTTACATAGTCCTGACCCTGGAGAAGTCCGGTCCCTATTTCTGGCTTCCTGAGACCCCCCATAAGGATAAGCGTTCTGGTGAGTGCACATCCATATAAGGTGGTGGATTCCCATTGGATTATGAGCACTCTCAAGCATCCCAGCTGGTATTGCTGCGCTTTGTAGTTCCACGATCAGCGGACTTTGCTGTGACCAGTAGTGCCACAGACTATTTGTTATCACTATTATTGCTGATAAGCACACACGTACTATTTGTCACTTCTGTGATCTGTAGTGCCATGGACTATTTATATTCACTATTTAAGTTCAGATTTTTAGAACTTTTATGATTCTATGATTTTATATGATCTGAGATGTTTATTAGATATATGTCACTTGAATATTGTATGATACACTTTTGTTCACATAAGCACTTTATGATTCCATTTGTCACTTATGCTTTAGCGCTGCACTTACATTGAAATGCATTACTTTATTATTTATGGTTTGTGAATAACTATGGTTATATGTTGTGTCCATCCAACGTCCTTATATATTATTCAGACAAAAGTTTTAAAATACATTTCTAATGGTCTTTGTGTAAATTTTAGGATTTATTGTGACTTCACTAAACATTATTTATAAAATTGATCTCACTAATCATGAATGGGTGCTACTGGTCCCTTCATTATGGGCGCTGAGATTTGAGTTAAAAGTGAAGAGGGAGATCACTACCCTAGTAAGCGCAGTTTAGCGCTTAGTGAAACTTGTAAGAGGTTTGTCCGCTTTTCCATTTGTTCCACTTTTATACAATATTCGCTGGTTGTGTCATCACCCATATTCTTTGGATTATTGTTACATGGCAAAAAGCAGATGTGCAACCACATTTGGTGTGGGCAAGAGTGGACCCACCTGGAGTGGTATGGATTGGTATGCTTATTGAAGCAGTGAGCTATAGTCTGAGGACTGCTGCCATAAGTAGAAGTGTTGCTTCAATTCCATGAAATAAACTTGAAGGATGCTCCCCTCACAGAAGGGAAACCAGATAATGCACTGTGTCAGTGTGCAACCATCCATGTTATAGTAGACCACCTACTTACGAGCCATTTCTATTTTCTATTATAAAATAAAACTAAAAAGTTACCCATCATATCAAGTTCCTGATATGCAACAATGTCATTGAATGTACATTATAATACGGATAGACTTTCATATCATGGTTACTAAGACTTCATTTGAGGGATATGTGCATCTGGTGTAATATTCACATTTCAGATGCTCCATTCCTTTTAACATTTGTTTAGTCCAGAAGGGTGTCTTTATGTAAAACGTGAGCCAAATATTGTCAGATAATTCAATGACAGCAAGCGTTGCCTTCTGTTAGTGTGACTCAGTGCTGTGTCCCTGGGTGAGGTAAACTAGCAAATAAATGAAATATGCTTCTCCAGTTGTATTTCTGTGCAGTTCACCATGGAAGCTCGAGGAAAGGAAGGCAGTGAGTTTTTTCATGTTTGTGTAATAGTTTACTTCATTTATATCATTTCCAGTGCCTGACAGAACACTAAAAAGGCACAAGTGCTACCTCTTTGTTTGGGGTACCCACTGGAGGGTACCCTGTTAATTAGAAACTGACCTGAGTTTAGTGAGCAGCTCAGCAGATGCAGATGTTTTGTTTGTTATCCGCTATGGACTTGCTCTACAAAGCCTCCTTGCAGTCAACTGTGTTTGCTGCCTTGCTGAATAAAAGTGCAGGACAAACCTACGTGGACTGTTCCTGGGGGTCCTTGTCCTGTGCATGGTTTACCAGATAATCCTGGTCCCCTTACAATACCTAAGGCTAGGTTCACAGCTATGCAGGTTGCATTTAAGCCGTTTCTGCATTGCGTTTTTGCTGTATTTTTTATGCAGGTTTTTTTTTTTTCATTTTTCTTTTCATTTTCCTTGTTGTTAGGTAGATTTAAAATGCAAAATGCAATACATGCTTTTTTGCAGCGTTTCCATTTAGGTCTATAGAACCAAAAACGCAACTTTTTGCGTTCAAATAAGTCCCTTACCCTTTCCGAAACACGCACCAGGTGAAAACGTCCCATTGGAAATCATGTTAAATAAACTATACTGCATTCCTGCAAAATGCTGCAGAAAATGCTTAGGTGTGAACCTAGAGTAACAAACAGTTAGGCCTTCCCCATGCCCTACTTCATAGAGTCATATGTGCTGTATCTTGTACAGATGTATACAGGTGGAAATACTTGGTTTTAGAATGGATCTGCCCCAAACATGGTGGTTCTGGATGTACAGTTTGCCACAGGAGCATAAAGATATGATTTGCATAGCTGCACCATGTCATTTGTATACATCCTGTTTTAAAGAGACATGCCATGCGCGATGTATTGTGCAGAACCAAAGAGAAATAAAAAAAAATAAAATAGAATTTTGGTAATGGTGATGTATATGAATCAAAATGAAATACTGGTGAAGACCTTTTAATATGACATAACAAATCAATTATCATATAACCTCATACTATAACCTTTTATCATAAACAGATCCCCCCAGTATTCAGTATCATTTTGTGAATGTGCAAACTAAATAAATAAATAAAAAAAAAATATATTATATATATATATACATATACATACACACATATGAACACACACACACACAGTATAGCTCTTAATGCATAAAAAAGCAAAACAAAAAACATATAGTCCAGTGTGAGAGTCCCATACACCAACCAATCTTCGTGCAATCTTGAATCAACATATTAACTCTTGTCAGAACAACAATATGACTTTCTCCAGCATGAACAAACACCACCGTGGCCTTCAACACACCTCATAGGTATCTCCTTACCTTATACTGTATCATGGACCCCCAATCCAAAAGGAGGGTCAATTGCGTTTTTATATTGATACCACGATCTTCTTCAGTATTCACCTGGTCAATACTGATCTCCCAGGAATATATATATTAAAAGGAGCCTTTGGAGCCTTTGAGAAAGCCGACTGGGGCACAACGCATCAGCTGGGCAGTGACCTCATCACGCTGGGCAAAGCTTAGATGCCATTATGGAAAGTCGAGTTATTAGCCTGTGACATACCTTTATGAACTTTTTAATATGCGAGTGGATTTTTAACTTTCTTATGGAAATAAACTAGCAGTCTGCACTCATGGATGTTCTTTGCTTCCTTTTAATATATCTATTTCTGGTTGATTGATAATGACCAGGTGAATTCTGCAGAAGATCGTGGTTTCTAGTATAAAAGCGCAATTGACCCTCCTTTTGCAGTGGGGTCCATGATATAAGGTGAGGAGATATCCATATGGTGTGGTGAAGGGCACGGTGGTGTTTGTTGACGCTGAAGAAAGTCATGACTGAGGGACATGCAGAATATTAAGGCTAATACTTAAAACCTAATCCATAAAACAACCACCCCTTCAACCATCCCCCACCTACACAACCATGCGACTCTCCTTTTGGTGTAAAACCGGCCATAGCAGTCCATTTATTTAACATAACTCTTACATAACATTTCATACAGTACAATCAAATAATAACTGACAGTAATGATCCCAACTGGGTCCAAGGTCTTCGAAGGCACTGTTACTCACATCAATAACTCGGCTGTATCTGACACCCAACGAAAAGGCCCCCAGCCGCTACTACACACGCCTCGGGGACAATACAACAGTTACATAGTCCCAGATACAGCCAATGAACTCTCACCTTACCAACGTAACCTTATAATTGGGAGGAAACACCCATACCTAGGTTGGGCCCAACCCATAATCCACCAAATTGTCACTCCAGCACCAACTTCAAAGACCCAGCGACACCTGCCGGCTGCCATGACAAAACAAAAACCAGACAAACACCTCAGGACCAAAATGCTAATGGAAAAAGAAAACAAAATCAACTAACCCACACAAAGCAAACAACAGGACAAACACAAAGGACAAAAGCAATAACCGAAACAAAACAAACAAAACAAAACAGCAAAACAAAACAAGAAACCGCTCCAGGGAGGTAGGGAGGGTGGGAGAAACCACACTTGTGCTGGCACAAGCTCCGACTGACCTCCGAAGGGACAAGTCCCAACCCCTTCCTCATCCCGGCAAGACCACCCTCAGGCTCGAATACTCCAATCAGGTGAGCAACCACCCCTACCTCCTGAATATACTCCCACCCAAATCCAATCTCCGCCTCGTCTGCAAGCCCCAGTCATGCTGCCCCTCCCCTTTAGCTTCACTCAGTCCAGGCCCTGACTTGTTGTTCTGACAACAAGAATTAACCGCTTCCCCGCCACCCTATGGCAGATATACTGCTACAGGGAGGCAGGGTTGTGCAAAATCACATATATATATACACGTGATTTTGCGATTCCGGGTAGGGGGTGCTCATGCCCTACCCGTGCCGCCATGCGAGGCTGTCAATCACCAGGTCCCGACCAGTAATTACCCGCCAGTGATTACCGAGCATCTCCAACAGGGGGTAAGACTGTTTTGTTTTGTTTACAAACAGTCTTCCTTTCTGTTGGCTCGGGCACACTGCTCTGGATGGCTGTGCATAGCACAGCCATCCAGAGCAATGTGCTTACAGTTAAGCACAACCCCCCCCACTCCCTAGTAAAACAATCCCTACACATAGTTAACCCTTTGATCACCCCTCATATTAACCCCTTCCTGCCCAGTGCCATTAGTACAGTGTCAGTGCTTTTTTTTAGCACTGATCATTGTATTGGTGTCACTGGGGATGTCAGTGACACAGAGTCAGTTCCCCCCCCAGTGTCAGAATGTCTGCCGCAGTCCCGCTAAAAGTCACTGATCGCCGCCATTACTAGTAGAGAATAATAATCACAGTATCTATACCGCCGTTTGTAATTTGTAATTAGCAAAGACATGTCCCAGAATACAGTTTGGTGTAAATTTATGACGAAATTTGATTTTTAAATTTTTTTTACTGCACATGTTTAATAGCAGAAAGTCCAAAATATTGTTTTTTTTTTCAAAATTGTCTGTTTTTTTTATAATGCAAACAATAAAAGCCCCACAGGCAATCAAATACCACCAAATAAAGCTCAATTCGTGGGAAAAAAGGTCGTAAATTTCATTTGGGTGCAGCATTGCATGATCGCGCAATAGTCAGTTAAAGTAACGCCGTAATGCAAAAAAAATATCCTGGTCAGGAAGGGAGGTAAATCCTCTGGAGGGTAAGTGTGTGTATGTATATATATATATATATATATATATATATATATATATATATATATATATATGTGTGTGTGTGTTCCTATATGTGTGTATATATATTTCTTTTTCTTTTTTTTGCACATTATCAAAAGGATACTGAATACTAGGAGGATCTGTTTATGATAAAGGGTGAGGTCATATGATATGTGATTTGTTATATTGGAAGCACTTCACCGGTATTTGATTTTGATTCATTAACACAGTTAAGAGGATGCACAGTTGGGTGGTAGCTGCTTTCCTGATTCAGGTTGACTTAATTTGACTTGTTATTTATTTATTTTTAGTTGTGAGTACTAATAGCACAGGGTTTTTTTATTTTTTTATAATGGTGATGTATAATTAATTAATAGCCCAATACATCATTTTTTTTCACTATTATGACACTTTTTCAGGCACATTTTATTATGTATTCAGCCTATTTATAAACGTTTTGTAAACATTATTGTGTCATTATTGTTTGGTGTCATTTTTGCTTTGCCAGTGAATTGATTGCATTTTCTGAAAAGAAGAGCAGAAGCTATTTGTTATCTGTCTTTCTCTCTATAGTTGAAATGCCAAAACAGAGGGTAAAAGGAAGGTGAGGTTACTTTTCTGACCCATTTAGTTGTATGTTTAAATGTGAGCTTGAACTATTGCGCTCTGTGAACAACATTTTCTTGGAGCAGTTAGAAATAGATAAATGTGCATCTGTTGAATGAAAATACAAATTAACTATTCTTTTGTAATATATTGTATTTACTGTACTAAACAAATATTGTTAATAATGTTATTTTTTTAAAAAAAACCTGAACATAATAAAATGTGTGTTCATTTAAAGTCTGTAAATAGCCCACCTTTTTTTGTTTTGGATAAGGCGGAGAAGAGTTAAAACTGCTGCGGGTCTTTTTTGTTTTTTTAATTTGCTGGCTGTGTACCTTTGGAGACCCTTCCAATACACTTCTTGTACCAGAGATACAGCAGGAAGTTGCAAATTAATATCTCCCAAAGTGAGGGGAATTCCCATCTTAAACAGTTTTCCCAATTGGAAGATTTCCCCTTACTACTCGTTTTGGGGACAACTCTAAGGGCCAGTTCACACTACAAATATGCACTCTGAATACATTCCAGATATGTTTTTGCTTACAGTTCACACCACACTTCACGCTGGTGCTGGTTTGATGCAGTTAGCTATGTTCCAGTACAGTTCTCTGCAGGAAAAATGCAGCATGTTCTACTTTTTTTCTGCTCCGGAAACTGACTGGAACTAACTGCACTGGGGTGAACTAGGGCCATTGGAATACATGGAAAACACTGTGCATACATTTTTGATGCAGAAAAAAAATGCACTGGACTGCATCTAATGTGAACTAGCCCTAAAATGTTGGATTTCCCTTCACTTTCATTGTCAGTAACCATGATCACCACAACAAAGAGGGTGAATCTACCCAATGGGACAGACACCAGTAAAAATTGGACAAAGGGTCAAACCCATCCTCATTCTATCAAAAACTTAAACAAAAATTTTGGCTTGAGATACACTTTAATTGTCTTGAAAACTGCAGGTTTATGTTTAACCAATTCAATACCGGGCACTTTTACACCTTCCTGCCCAGGCCAGTTTTCAGGTTTCAGCCCTCTCACACTTTGAATGACAATTGTGCGGTGATACAACATTGTACCCAAACTAAAATTTTATAATTTTCTTCACACAACTAGAGCTTTCTTTTGGTGGTATTTAATCACCGCCGGGGTTTTTATTTTTTTGCTAAATAACAAAAAAAGACCGAAAATTTTGAAAAAAAAAACACGTTTTTCTTTGTTTCTGTTATAAAAGTTTGTAAATAAATAATTGTTCTTCATAAATTTAGGCCAAGATGTATTCTACTACATGTCTTTGGTGAAAATAACCCAAATTAGGATGTATTATTTAGTTTGTAGGAAAGTTATAGAATTCACAAACTATGGTATAGATCTGAATATTGATCAATCCTGAAGTACTGACAGCCAATCTAATTTCTTGAGGTCCAAGAATGTCAGAACAGTACAGATATCCCCCAAATGACCCCTTTTTGCAAAGTAGACAGTCCAACGTACTTCATAAGAGGAATGGCGAGTTTTTTGAAGTTGTATTTTTTTTGTCATAATTTTTCGGTAAATGAAAAAATAAAAAAATTATTTTCACTATTTTTTTTTAACATACTGTCACCAGTGCAGTACAGCGTCATCATATAACTGGCATGGCGGTGATCAGGGACACTGACTGGTGACAGTGTGAAAAAAAAAAATATGTTTTTTTTTATTATTTTAAATTTTTTATTAATTTGTTTTTCTTTTTTTTTTTTAAGATTTTTTTTTCATATTTCACTATGACCAAAGTAGTACAATGTTACCATAGTAACATTGTACTACTTTGGGGAAGTGATCACTATTTTTTTTTTTTACACAATTTGCTTATAGCAAATAATTACTTTGCTATAAGCAAGTATTTACCTGAATGACATTGATTCATTCAGGGTTTTTTTTTTTTTTTTTTGTGCTTAGCTGTGATTTGGCCACAGCTAATCACAGGACATGTGCATGTGATTAGCTGTGACCATTCACAGCTAGACAGTAGTATACAATGGATGGCATGAATGAAGAACCATCCATTGTATACAACTGTCATGTGACCTGCTGTGATTGGTCACAGCAGGTCACATGGTACCGGCAACGGGGGCCGATACTCAGATCTGTCATCGGCCGTGTCCGAGGTACATGGCTGGTGACAGATCGCGCCGCTGCATGGCTCTGCAAGCGCGCAAACTGCGCATGTGCGGGAGGACACCATATGGCGGCCTTCCGGAAAGCTAGTACATATTTCCGGACGCCATTCAGCCATAGGCCAGGCGTCAAATGGTGAAATGATGTACAAATCATACAGTATTTCCATCTTCAGTACATACGTCAATTTGTAGTGTATATTTTCTTACAGCCACTCTATTTTTTTAACAGTTTGCTGTGCTCCGAAATCTAAAGTAATTTATGCAGAATCCTTAAAGTTGTATGTGAGAAGATGATCTGCAGCCATTAAATCTCAAGCATTACTCCAGGGTTTAAATATGTGAACTTTGAATATTAATGCACCGCTGGCTTAAGCCTTGCTGAAGATTTTACACTACATGCTTTGCCTCGAGCTTAAATTATTCACAAGGTTCTTGAAATGCATTGGTAATATACGCTAAGATGCTTAGCCAGGCTGTACATTATGTTGTTATATACTATATATTTTAGCCTTGGTGATGCTTTAAGGTCTTTATATTTATTTTGGGATTAAGTTGAACTCTGGTTTAGCATTTTTTTTTCTAATAAATTCTGTCAGATGAATTTTTCTAAAGATAAACTATATCACACAGACTTGTTATTGCTACTGTTGGAAATATGTGCACAACACTAATTAAGAAATTGGTCAGCTTAGAGAAAAATGCAAAAGGGTTATAATAAAATCCAACTCAGCAAGGAGATAATAAAAATGGATATGTCACTCATTTCCAAGGCATCCCTGGTCTTAAAGGCTCGGGTGACACTGCTTCGACATGGGATTTGACTTGTGAGATCCTAAAACACAGCAAACTCTGTACTCCTGCACTTCGGGATGGACTTGGCTAGGGTTATGGTAACATCACAGATATCCTGGAAAATGCACACCTTGCTGTCTTCAATGGACTGGGGTAGTCCAATGTCACTGGATACAAAGAAAAACAAACAGAGGGTGCACCAGCCTAGTGCATTATGGTAAAAATATTATTGGAAGGATAAAAAGTATGTATCGTACTCACAATAGGCAAACAGGTCAAAGGCACATCACACTAAACAGCAGTGTCCAGTCCACATAGCATATAAGTCCAAAAAAATGGAACCCTGGACTTCCAACAGGGAGCTACCTGAGGAAGAGGTTGAGACCTCGAAAGGCATTAGCCTGTAGGAAGTCCAGGGTTTTATTTTTTTGGACTTATCTGCTAATATGTTTACAATAATGCACTAGGCCGGTGCGCCCTCTGTTTTTCTTTGTATCTTGTGAGACCCTAAGTTGAGTGACATGTGAAATTCAGTGTTTCCCTATGAGAGACGTTTTGAAAGATACTTGTCACGAGCCGACTGACGGTAGCCTCTAGTGACCCACAGGCCGGAGTCCCTCAGGGCGCGGAGTCTAAGCCTCAGTCTGCTGGTTCACCAGAGCCCCTGATGTTGGGGATGGACTTGAAGCAGCCTGAGACCAGGTCGCGACCCCCGAGTAACAACAGCTGTGGTAAAGGCAGCCGCCAATGGCGTATAGCAGGTAAGAGCCAGATGTGAAGAGGTATAATGTGGTCAGGCAGGCCGGGTTGGTAACAGCGGAGCAGACAGTACAGAACGGCAGGCAAAGAATAATCAGGTCACAGGCCGGGTTCAGCAACAGAAGGCCAGGCAATAGGATCAGGCAGAGAATGGTCAGGACGAGCCAAGGGTCAGAGCAGGAGAGGACAACAGTATCGGGATCAGGCTGGGTCGGCAACAAGGCAGTCAGAAGTACAGGACAATCAGGAACACAGGAACAAGACCATAAGGCGATTTGGAGATGCACAGGGCTGGTTTAAATAGGGCGCCCTGTGCTCTTATTGGTGACAGGAGCGCGCCTCGTGATCGCGAGTGCGCGGCCGTCGCCGCGATCGCCTAAGTCTCAGTGCTCGCCGGCTGGTGCGTGTCGGCGATCTGCGCATGGGCGCACCTCCAAGCGGCCTGACAATACTACAATCCCTGACAATACTGCACAAGTCAGTCAGACTTTAGAAAAGGTTCCTGCACTACTTTGGTCCAACTTTGTTACGACTTCAATGCCACAGAATATAAAAAGACACATCAAAGTTGCATCAAAGTCAGATTCCAAAGCTGCACTGAAAGTCGTGTGGCTTTGGAGTCAGGCAAGTGTGAACCGAGCCTTATCTTACACAACTAACTTTGTGTTCTTGGTTCTTTCTATACTGTTTTTACATTTCTGTATAAGCTCAGGTATCCATTACAATAGATATAACCAAAATCAGCAAAATTGCATATAATTCGCTTAGGTACATCATTCCAAAAGTTATTTTCAATCATTTTTAACTTGCAGATTTTATTAAACGTATACCTGTTGATTCTGCCATGAAGGTTTTTGTTCAGACATTTCTTATTTTAGGGTGACAACACTATGTTCCTGTCTTTAAATTGTTTTGTTGCATTGCGACTTTGCCATATGCAATTTTGATGGAGACAAATTTCTATGTACATGCTAAGGGGTCCATTTATAAAAATTTCATTGAACTAATGTGACAAGCATTCAGTCAATCATTAAAGTGTTACTAAACCCAGGACCCTGCATTCACTATATCTGGTCTGGCACAGTACAGACAACATGGAAATGCAATTATTTTAGCAAATATAAACTGCTAAATACCTTTTCTCATCAGCAGTTAGAGCAGTCTTGTGACTTCTATCAGTGTCCAGTCGAGACTGGTTAGAGCTTGTAGGAGGAGTTTTCATGTTGCTCTAGGAGGTGCAGAACAGCTGACCCTCTTTCTGGACAATGCTGATTGGTCCTCTGCTGATCACATGCACTCTCTCAAGAAAAAGAAAACCCTCTGTAGCAATACACACCAAACTGAGCATGTGCAGAGTGTCTCCACACAATATGTCTTATCAGAAGGTAAGAGGGGGACACTAGAAAAAAGAGGATCAGAGAAGTCAGGATCAAACAGCGTTTTTACACAATGCCGAGTATTAACCCCTTAGGTTCTACAGTGAGTATCTCAAGCATGCTTTAGTGCATATACAGACTGATTTTACTGTTGTGGGTTTAGCAACACTTTAATGAGTTTTTGCAATATTTTTCTTAAGGCCAAGTTCACACTAGTGCGAATTCAGATGCAACTTGAGTCACACATGACAAGGGAAATGTTTTCAATAGTGCCCGTCTCATCAATGAAACTCAGCATGGATCAATTTTGGAAAAGGATCCTGTATCACTTTGGTACAATTCCAGTACAATTTTGGCCCCACAGAATATACAAACTTCAAAGCTGCACAAAAGTTGCATACAAGTAGCACTACACAATCGACACAGAAAGTAGGATCAAAATCACATAGCAACAGTGTGAACCTAGCCTACAATTATTTCCTATGATCATGCGCTCCATCTAGTTGCCATAATGCTGTATTTATGTGATTGAGGTATTTCAGGAAAAATACTGCATTATGGCCACTAGATTATGCTGCTGATCACAGGAAATCATTGAAAAAATATGTCAAGTGAAGTTTTTCTAAATTAATTTATTTATGTGTATCATCAGACAGCCTGTCTTGGCCAATGAAATGCAGCTAGTTACATAGTTAGTCTGGCTGAAAAAAAGACAAAAGTCCATCCAGTTCAACAACTAAATAGTTTTTCTAAATAGATCTATTTATGTGTATCATCAGAGAGCCTGTCTTGGCCAATGAAATGCAGCTAGTTACATAGTTAGTCTGGCTGAAAAAAAAAGACAAAAGTCCATCCAGTTCAACAACTAAAAAAAAAAAAAGTTTTTATAATTCTATACCCACAGTTGACCCAGAGGAAGGTAAAAAAAAAACCCAGCAAAGCATGATCCAATTTGCTCCTGCAGGGAAATAAATTTCTCCCTGATCCCCCGAGAGGCAATCGGATATTCCCTGGATCAAATTTACCTATAAATGTTAGTAACCAGTTCAGGGGCGGACTGACAACTCATGGGGCCCCCGGGCAATGGGGGATCATGGGGCCCCTATGTCCTTGCCCAAACTCAAAAAATCCTATGAAAAAGGTACCAGGGGCATCTCATGGGGCCCCCTACTGGCCCCGGGCCCTCGGGCAGTGCCCGAGTTTCCAAATGGTCAGTCCGCCCCTGAACCAGTTATATTCTGTGTATCTAAGAAAGAATCCAGGCCTTTTTTAAAGCAATTCACTGAGCTGGCCAGAACCAGCTCTTGAGGGAAAAGCTAGTGCTGGAGTGCATGCTCATGAAGTGGTCCCAAAGAGGTTGGAGGAGATCAACAACACCGGGATGCAAAACAGCATGAAAAAGCAATACTAAAAGAAGAAAAAAAGCATAGCTATTGTTTATGATACCCTGTGGTTTAGTCTACTAAAACTGCATGGTGCAAAATCTGGTGCAGCTGTGCACAGAAACCTGTCACCTTCCAGGTTTTAGGCTGGCCATACATTATACAATTATCTGGAGATTTTTGGTTTAGATTTACCAAAATCCATATAATAGGACAAACCTAAACAACACTTTCAGTTGTATCCAATTAGGAAGGCCCTTGCACTACATAGTTGAAGGTAAATCTAAAGGAAATTGGGCAGAATATTGGAAAATAATTGTATAATGTATGGCCAGCCTTAGTCCTCATGCACACTGGATGTTTTTACAGCAGCTGTTTTTGTCATTTTTTTCTACAGCCAGTAAACTCCCCAGTGTTTTATTCTATGTATCCATGCACACATAGACTGTAATCAGCGTTTTTTTGGCTGGAGCGTTTTTTGACTGGAAAAAAACCCCAGAACTAGTGGGTTTCTAGAGGTGCTTTTTAGCTGTAAAAATGCTCTAACGCTGGAAAATGTGGTAAAACGTGGCAAACCAGCGTTTTTGGACTTTTTTTTTTAGCAAAACAAAATTAATTTAAAAAAAAACACTAAAAAACGCAAATGCAGCAAAACGCTGCTAAACGCTAATGCAAAAACGCTACAAAATGATGAAAAACTCACGTTTTTAACATAACTACACAGCTAACATTACCAGCGTTATTAAAATGCCCAGTGTGCATGGAGCCGTATTGTCAAAGCTTAATTGAACAAGCTGAAGTTAGAAACTGATTGGCTACCATGCACAGCTGCACCAGATTCTGAATGTTCCAGTAAATAATTCTCCCTCCAAATGTAATCCTGTTCAGTTTTACATCTACATTATAATGTAAGCTTCCAATTTACTGTCCCATTGCATGTACAGTTTCTGTCTTTGTCGCTGTAGAAAATTAATATTATTCACTGCAGACTCCAAATTGACTGTAAGAATATTTTGGGTCTCACATACCTGGAGCTTAGTAGTCTCATGTGCATGAGAAGCGTGAGTGATGTGATTACTTAGAGGTCTGGATGGGTAGGGGAACTGGGTACTTGTCTGTTAATTCACCGGATTTATTTATATATATATATATATATATATTTTTATATATATATATATATATATATATATATATATATGTTTTATTTTTAAATATATATATATAAAAAAAAAAAATATATATATATATCCGGTGAATTAACAGACAAGTACCACCGACTGCACTTGGGTATTTCCGTTAGACTCCCGCTTCCCTGTCTGAACACAGATCCACGGACACCACTCTGGAACTAAACCAGGAAATAGACTGCTTTATTTTAACACAGACACAAGATATATACATTCAAGGGAACAATTCTCCTCTCCCTGCATAAGGACACAGGGCGGGGCAAACCAAATCTAGCAACAAGGAAACACATCAGCAGACACTCCCCACCAAGCCAATACACAAACACATACATCCCATAATAGTTTGCTCCCAAGCAAGACACACAATAGAAGAATGGGATACAATCACATAACACCAAACAATCCACAACCCCCACCTATCTCCTATACATGTCTATCTCCTATACATGAGCTGAGACAGGGGTCTCCCCACCCCTCCAAAGTGAGCTGTGTTCCATGGGCCCCCCCACCCAAAACCACAGTCCTCATGCACACTTAATGTTTTTACAGCGGCTGTTTTTGGCTTTTGACGTTTTTTTTTCTACAGCTAGTAAACCCCCAGCATGTTATCCTGTGTGTCCATGCACACAGACTGTAATCAGCGTTTTTTGGCTGGAAAAAAACCCCCAGAACTAGTAGGTTTCTAGAGGGTTTTTTTAGCTGTAAAAATGCTGTAACGCTGAAAAACACGGCAAAATGTGGTAAAACAATGCCACAAACCCCCAAAAAACTTTTTTTCTGGGTAAAAAAATCGTTTTTTTAAAACCACAAGCATGGAAAAACACGGGAAAACCCCGCTAAACGCAAATACAAAAACGCTAAAAAAAAAGCTGAAAAAACTCACGTTTTTAACGTATGTTTACACAGCTAACGTTACCAGTGTTTTCAAAACGTCGAGTGTGCATGAGGACTACACAGACAATTTTTACTTTAGTTTTTATTATGGTTTGTATTGCTCTTTTATCTCTAAAAGCTGAAGGGAAACTAAAGCACAACTCTGGTGCACCAGCACTGCTATGGTTAATTGCTCATATAATCTAGGTGGAAAGTAAAGCACTTTTTACTTATCTGATCATACACTCCCCCAAGCTCTAGTGGTGGACCGTCCCATAGTATCATCATGCCCGGTGCAGGGCTATGTGCCCTGCAGTGGTCTTGATGATGTCAGAACCTTAGACAATCACAGCATGATGGAGAAGACACTATAAGGATTTGCAGCATGGGGGAGCCGAGGATCAGGTAAATAGATCTTCTTTTCTATGTCCCCTAGACCTGAATGCGCAATTAACCCTTGCAGCATAGGCACAGTATGTCACAATTTTACTTTTGCTGATCTCCATTTTTTTTTAATTTAGGGCTCATTTTCTATTTGTTTTTTTTTTTTTCATTCTCTATTGAAATTATTTCCCAACTCTTTAGTTATGAATGATAAAAACCGCAGGTGTATTACAAATAGACAAAAAGGTAACAAGAGTTGCTGTTGATAGTTTTGTTGATAGTACATTTCTGATAATGTTCACACTGCACACAGATAAACACACAAATGACTCTGATTAGCAGTTCTTTAACACCTAGCTAGAGATGTCCCCAGTATATGTTTAAGTGAGTCTGGGATAATGTACACTCCTCTGCTCAACTAATTATCAATTCAAGTGTAGTAGATGTGCTTCAAGCTCACTGAAGCATACATGCTAATGCTCTTGATTTGGGTGGATGACTTCCAGTATATTAAGAATAACTTCCCTTCAAAATACTTTTGTCAGTCTCTTGCTTAACCCAATGGCAAATTTAAACAAGGATGGAACCTGGGGCTTCATACTTCAGGGGGACCTATGGGGATACAAAAAATGTTCTGCACCTCCATGCTCTTCATAGAAGTCAGTTTCAGCTTTGATTGCCTCATTCATACCTGCAATTACAGCTGGCAGCAATTTGGCAAGAATCGCAGGTGTGTGTGTGAACAGCTGTGGCCATTTAGTCTGTACAAATCAATGACAGGCTACTTCAAGGAGATGATCTATGGCAGCCTGTTGCTGTTTGCATGTACCTGGTCTTCCATTTATAATCTACAGTTAGGATGGATAGGACAGGCTACTTCAAGGACTGACCACCTGTTCCTACCTGCAGGCAATTGCATGCTGGTTCCAAGTCCATACAAATAGCAGCACGTATCCACAGATCATCTAAGCTTGTCATTTATCTGTACAGGTTTGAGGGGCTTCAGATGTTCACGTATGTTTGTGATTCCTGCCTTAGGAATTTACTGGGTCTACTTACTGCAGGAATTTGCTGCCGGCTGTAATCACAGGTGTGAATGAGGTTTAAATCTTTTAGACTTTTTTTTTCAGAAGCTGACAGCAAAGTTTTCTTTACACAATTCTCAAGCTCTCATACATGTAAACAAGAGCATCCATTTCCATATGATATGTCTGTGTAACACTGTTCAACAAATTTTTATTTTTTGCCAGTTTTGGAAACAAAAGGATCCCATTCTTAATGAATTTCACATTCTGAAAATATAACAATGAAATTTGTCAATTGGCTCTAGTTTTTCTGTAAACGGAAAGTTCTTCACTATAGGCTAATGACTACATAATGCACAATAATTATATAGATAGATGTCTTTCCACAAATATAAAGCAAGTGATATTGACTACATAACAAAGCCTAAATGGCATAAATATATTGCATGATTACCAAGAAAAATTATAGCCATAAGCTAAGTTGAATCATTTTAATACTTAGGATTCTCACTAGTTTTGTCTTCAGTTTATGTCACCATCTCTTGTATTTGCGAGGAAAGGGCTATCTCTTACAACTGCACGTGACTACACGCTTCAGGTTCTTCCTCACTTGACTCAACCACGAAGGATTGAGGAATTGGTAGCCCCTCTCCATGAGGAACTGGACGTATTGCTGCGATGGAATATATGGATAATCCTGCACAGATAACTTTTTTCTTCTTATTAGCCCTTTTAACAATTGGAGGCACCATACAAAAGTAACAATTACTAACATGATCCTGCTTGGCTCTCTCCAAATCATTGGCACAGCGAAAGGCATAGATGCCTTTTTTCCATAACCATTGCTCCAGTGCCGTCCCACAAGAATTGCAGCAACTATGTGGTGCCCAGCTCTTGAATGTCTCCTATCTTGCAGCCAAAATACAAGTTGTAGGCTTTCTTAATCATTCCTGGTGTGAGATAAAAGTTATTTCACCGCCAGATATAGCAGAGAAATTATCTTTTATTCACACAAGTTCGAGGCATTACTGAGTAGCCTATTGTAAAGCAAAAACGTAAAGACGCGCTGTCCGAACTACAATCAGCTACAAGATACTTTTTGATGCAGTGAAGTGATGCAATTTAAAATATTGCATTAAGTATACATGCAATTTTCTATTGGTCACCAGTATCAATTGCGCATGGTGGAATGGCTTTACGTCATAATAAGAGGCAATCATACACTTTTTTAGGGTCATTTTCGTTTTTCATGCACCCCGAAATTATGTATGCAAAACTATTTGTAATCCATAAGATCCAATCAAACACTGCGCTATAATCCTGCACAAATGTTTCAGGAATGTTTACCTGGTGGGACGCCAATTTTTCCACCAATAAGAAACCCCTGGTGTACAAGCTGTTACTGGGAGGGGGGGACATGTTCCCCAGGCATCAATTTGAGAGGGGTGCCACCGGCCCCTGTTGAAACAGGTAATTTGCAGAATATATCTCGCATAAGATCCAATTGAAATTCAAACACTGCGCCCTGCACAAATGTTTCAGCCAAATTGAGAGGGCCTACTGTATGCAAAACCCCTTGGTGGTACAACTACTGACATAAGCCCCAGGGATTTTGAGAGGGGTGCCGCCGGAGGGCCTACTTATGTCAATACTGACATAAGATCGGGCTGGACTGTCACTAACTGTCCTGAGCTGCATTCAATCACAGGGAGCCAAGCTCACATTGTCACAAACAACTAGCTGCTCAGTGTTAGCCCACACTGTCATGCCACTGCTGCTGATGGCGGGGATGGGGGACCAGGATCTGGATACTGGGTATGAATTCAGCCTGCTGCTCTGCCTTTCTGCCTTGAAGAGATCTGACCGGGACCTCAGGGGAGTGAG